CACCAGAACTCCAAAACACAGGTTTAGTTTCTACCAGCACTTCTCAAACTAACATCTGAGTTATTTGTTAAACATGAAATGCTTAACCCCTTCAATCAGGGACCATACCATAGATCTCAAATGGGTACTCAACAATACACATGGTTAACAAATATCCTAGATAACTGTGATGCTGGTGTTAACAGTATTTCCTTCCCAGAATGCACGGCCAAACCCTCACCAGCTCAGCCACATTAGGTCTCTTTCTCAGATTCATGTTAGCAAGTTACTTTTTTCATTAGGTGAGATTTGATATACAGCTCCGCTCATGCCAAAATAATTGTCTTTGAGAAATGAGTGGCTCCCAGAAAAATTGACTTATTTAATTTTTCAACTTAATAAGGAATTATGGGCAATAAAAATGGTTTAAGGGCTGCTTATGTCCCAGGGACTATGCTTTCTGCTTTACAAACATTATCTCAATTAATTGTTGCAAAAATCCAGCAAGAAAGATATTCTTTACATTTTACAGAAGATAAAACTGAGACAACAACTATGAGGCAGTACTGACAGACACTGTTCTACCTAACTTTAAAGCTGTAACTCTTATCCCAAATGACAGCCTACCTTTTCAGTACTTCAACTGTAAGTGTAGAGTCTTTTAGTCTATTTACTTTTAAGGTAAACATCCTAATTTAAGTTCATTGAACTAATCTTTCTGCCCCACACTAACTAAACACATACAAGTGTAGGACATCTTGGCATGTGGGGGATGCTACATGGCCAGAGTATCCATCTTAAGTCAGGACTCAACAGTTTGCTTTATCCCATCTTATTTAATCAATATATGGGTATACTAAACAGCTATTATAAGAGTGTATGTTTCTTAAATAAAGAGCTGCCATACCTACAATTCTGTCAATGCTAGTACTTTTAAACTACCCAATAATGTAAAGCAGAAAGGAGAGCCATTGAGAAACACCATAATGTAATTCTACCTGTCCCCTTCTTTTTGCCCTAGCCCTTCCTACCTACATGATCATGTTTCTCAGTACAGTCAAGCACCAAATTCCTCCCTACAACAGCCAATGAACTATTTTCAGAAATCAGCAGATTTGCACTAGGATGCAGAAGTCCATTTTTTGAGCGTACATGAAATGCTTCAAAAGTGCTCCAAAGCCACACCTAAATTCTTTAAATGAGATGTTGATTCTTTATTCCACTCATAAGTTATAATATAACAATAACAAAACACTCATTTCCTTCACTCCAGTTAGCCTTAACACCACTTAGATAACTGGAACTTAAAAAAAAAAAAAAAGCTACTAAAATAGATAGTAACATAAAGACAAGAGGTGAACATAAAGTGAGAAAAACCTAGCTTCCACTCTTGAAATCTACCTGTTCCTGGATGAGATGAGCATTACCTTATTCCTCGTTTCCTTAAGGAGGGCCCAGATACAAAGTACTAAAAGTACTAGGTAGTTTAAGTGTCAGCTCCCAAGAGTTTTCCAGAAGCCCCATTTATGTAATAAATGGGTCCAGTATAATCCTGGGATTCATATTATCTGGTCCCTCTCCCTTGAATCTGGGATGACCTGTGACTTACTGTAAATAACGGAATATGGCAGAAATGATGTTATGCTGGTTCCAAAGACTATGGCTGAGGAAAACCTGGGTGCTACTGCTTTTGAACTCCAGTGAGCCCTGAGCAACCATTTGCAGCCAGCAATCCTTCTGGAAAGGCCACCTGGCGAGCAAGGCGCCCTGAGACAAGACTATATGGTACAAGAGGAAGAAGAAGAAAAAGAGACAGGGAGAGAGAAGCAAAAAGACAGAGAGACCAGTACCCAGGGGAACTGCCAGCTGAATGTGGCCAATTGAGTGACCACCAGCAAAACCAGCAGAAACGTTCAAATGAGACCAGCCTGGCAACCTGGGAAAGCAAAATCATGACCAAAAAAAAAAGTGTCTTTGGTTTTAGGGTTGTTTGTTACATAGTAATAGATAACCAAAATAATGCTTACCTGGTTCCTTGTGTTTTTTTCATAGTTTCCTCAAAACCCAGGGAGGAGTGTAGTTACAAGCATACCTCATTTTACTGCACTTCACAGGTGCTGGGTTTTTTTTTTTTAACCACTGGAAGACAAGAACCTCCACCAGCAAATACATGAAACCTCACTTTATTGTGGTGTCTCAAACCAAACCCACAATATCTCCAAACTGTGCCTGTAATTATAATTCCAAATACACAATTCAGAAGTAAATTTCATTTACTTCTCTTCCCACCCCACCTCACCCTACCCTATCCCATCCCCCAATCCAGACTGAGATTACAAAGGAAATAAGTAAATGACTGGCCTAATATCACTACCTGCTCTCCATACACTCAATTCATCCCTCAGTCTCACCAGCATTCCATCACATGGAAAAAAGAATGCACACAGATAGTCCAATGAAAACCTAAGAGCCAAGAATCAAATTGTTAACTGGAAGGAACCTCCCAGGATCATCTAGTCCTCACTGACAAGGTCACATAAAGGCAGTAACTATACCCAATGATGATAAACCAGTTGCATACATCATACAAGAAAGAAATCAACTCCTGATTCCACTTTACACACTTGCTAATTGAAATACTCGGGCAAATCATTTAACCTCTTGGACTACTTTGCTCTGTAACATAATGGCAAATAACATAAATTAGTCAAAATTCACTGTAAACAACAACACAAGCGTAAGGAGACAGTGTCCTTAGATGTAAATATAGTGTGTCTCTACAGTAAGGGTTCTAAGCAATAATAAAAGAATTTGAGAGCTCTAGTGTTTTAAAAGCCCCAACTAATTCTGAGAGCTGCTTCCAGGCCAACCCACTGGCTCAGGGGTTCCATGAATAAGCTACAGGTGGTCCACAGACTTTCTAAAACAGGGGTGCCGTACTCATTTTCACCGGGGGCAAGGGGCCACATATCAGGGCTGAATGTAATTTTAGGACTGTATAAATGTAACTACTCCTTAACTAGGGGCAAAGAGCTGGCGTTGCCACCAGGTAGAAACAAGATGCTGGGCCGGATAAAAAAAGGTGAGGGCCAGATTCGGCCCGCAGGCCTTCTGTTTGCCACCTATACTCTAAAATGCTAAGCAAAAAGCAAAGGTGCATACGGAAATTTTCCAGGCCAGGTTTCTTTAATTCCACCAAGGATTACTAATCCCCAAAAGATTGAGAACTCCTGCTACAAAGTAACACATGCCAAATATAAAGCTTCTGTGAATGTGCTCAATATCATACTACTACTCACCCAAATAACCTGAATCAGAACCTTCAGTTATTTTCTCTCCCCTCATTTTCTCTCTCATCATCAATTCTGTCTAATCTACTACTTCCTTCCTCCTTACCATTCCTGTATTTACGGCCCCAGCTCAGCCCCTCGCTACCTATGATCACAGCAACCACGAGGTGTTCTCTACCTCCAAGTCTTCTCTACTTCAATCCACACTGCAACAGCTGCCAGATTAACCCTCTGAAAACAGCTTTACATTACATTCTCAACTCAAAGTCATCTGTGAAACCCCCACTGTCTACCAAATCCAAGGTCATCTGCCTGCATTAAAAGCAAACATAAATTGGTCTAATTTTTACTTCAAGCTTTGTCACCCTCACTACTGGTACAAATACTTTATACTCCATCCAAACAATTATTTCCATCTCTTCAGATGTATGAACTCTGTGCTCTTTAGTCCCTTCTCTCTACTTGGATTACCTTTCCCTGCCTGTCAAGACTCTTAGTCATCCTTAAAGATTTCACAAGCCAGGAAATCCCACCTTCCCAAATGAGATGTGGGCTTTTCCTTTTTTAAATTTGAATTCTGCAGGTACCTTAACTATTTATTAAAAGACAAATGAGCCCTGGCCAAGTGGCTCAGTTGGATGGAGCACAGTGCTGTGCACCAAAACCCTGAGGGTTCAATCCCCAGTCAGGGGGCACACATATGGGTTCCATCCATGGTCAGGTGCGTACAGGAGAAAATCAATCATTTCTCTTTCTTTCTCTCCCTTTCTCTCTTAAAACAAAAACAAAAACAAAAACACACCAAAAAAACAAAAACCACCTATATCCTTGGGTGAGGATAAAAAAGACAAATGAGGCATATATATATAGTCCTACCCACCTAACTAGTCCTTGAAGGCAGAAACCATCATCATGCTCACCTTTATATTTCCCAAACACTTTGCACAGTCATGCAGTAAATGCTTAATAACTGTGCAAAGTAGTAAAAGAAATTTCAAACTTCCTGGGGTGAACAGTAGATTCCTCTCTTTGAAGGCAGAGAGACTTTATCTGTGACATCCTCTATCACACCAGGCTTCCAAAACATAGCCCTTATTTTCTGCTTTTCAAAGTCCAGGAAGAACTATTTGAAAATGTCAATAAGCTACATCTGAAAGAACTATTCCATTTATTTAACACTTCTCAATCTGAGTGGCTCTCAATACTTGGCCACTAAGTATTCAATTTGAAAAAATATTAACTGCTTATGAAAAGTGATCATTTCCATAAAAGCTAACTTACTACTTTATGACTAAAAGCAAACACATACATAAAAGAATGCCTTTCTTTTTTAAAGGGTGATTTTGCTTGTATAATACAAAGACTCAGTGCACAGGTAAGATTCATTTATAGTAAGTGGGAATTCTTGTGAAAACCTGCCTGCAACTGGTCACCAGGTGTTTCAGATAAAAACGCCAAAGGGGGAGAGAGAATTTTAGACATCATCCTCTTCCACCACTGTTGCCAATAGCATTTTAGAGCACTAACTCAAATCCTTTTGAACATTAGGCTACACACACAAAAAATACATAAAACTTATCCAACAGAAAATGAAAGCCACGACAAGCGGCTGGAAGAGGAAAAATGTCAACAAGCGGTGAGTGGTCTTGTCAGGTCATCACGGGAGCCAAGGCAGCTTCACTCCTAGGCAACGAGGTAAAGGACGTACCTAGCACAGGACGATCCCTCAAAAGTGACAAAGCGATGAGCCAACTACAAAATTAACATCTCGTAAAGGTCGGCAGGAGGAGGTCCCAATCGCTAGCAAAAACTGCAAGGTCACTGGGACCTGGCGGGTCACCGGGATGGAGGTGGAGTGCGCTGGGGCTGCAGCCAGGAGGACTGGGTGATACAGGCGAAGAACGCGGTCCAGGACGAGGTGCGGAAACCCAGGCGTGGGCAGGAAGTGCACCCGGTGTCTCAGGGTGGCATGGGGACAAGGTGAGCAGCTGAGCAGCCGCGCAGCAGAGTTACCGGGACTCTTCACTCCGGCCTAAGCTAGGGCCACCCGGCAGCCCGGCGACCCCGCCCCGCAGAGGTCTGCCTTGGCCGAGGGTTCGGCCTCAGAGTCCCCACCCGCCCCCTGCCCAGTCCGCGCTCCACCGTCCTCACCAGCTCCGGAGCTCGCAGCAGCGCGTCCCCGCGGCGCCTTAGCCCTCGGTGACCAGAACCGCCATCTCGCCGCAGGCTCGGCCGGCAGCCAGGCCGCCTGCAGCCCCTTGTAAGCTCTTTCGCCACCAGGCCCTCCCCCCCCCACCCGCCCCACCGCGATCACCTCCGTGGACCTACACTTCCCTCCCCAAGAACGCTCCACCCGGCCCAAAGATCCGGACCCCACTGCTTCCCCGAGCATGCGCAGCCAAGGCACCAGCAACGCCACTGGGAAAGTCTCCTCCACTTGGTCTTCCGGGCGTCTGGGACGGCCAGCCAATGGGAGAGGAGGGCGGAGCCCCGAGCCACTGGGGGCGTGGCCTGGATCTGGAGGCGGAGCTAGAGCCACAGAGGGGCGGAGACTGGAGAGAGGCTCCTTGGGTTGGTGGAGGTGCAAGTGGTTGCCTTGACTTTGCGGCTGCGTCGGGGTAGTGCCTCTCCTCCAGGGAGGACCTCGGGCACTGGCAGTCCTTTGGAACGCGTTACAGCAAAGGTGGATACTAAATAAGTATCTGTTGACAAGCTGGGCGCTGCAGAACACATTGCAAGAGTAAATAAACGCCATCAGCAGAGGACTACCACCCCTTATTGGTCACCAAATATTGCACTCCGCCCTGCATGAGTACAATGACAAAATACTGAGCAAATACACGGGTGAGTCTCATGCAGTGCAGCCTGTCACACCCATTTGTACAAAACACAGGTGCTGTTCTTTCTGTGTTTCTTTCAGAAGAAGGACTACTTTGCAATACAGTCGGTGGTGACCACATTACTCACCAGATGACCTTGACAACAAAAGGTTGCTGCCACCCAACCAACCAAAAGGAGTCCGCTTACAAAGTGTGGTAAAAGGAAAGACTATACTCAGGTGAACGGTTTGGCAACTGGTAAGACACAAGCTCTGGAGAAAAATGTGCTCTTATAAAGCAAGGGGAGGCCCCTTATATACAGGAAGTTTCTGGTCCCTGAATGGGCAATTTCTATGCAAATGAGGAATTCAACTTTGCACAGATTGGTCCAAATTACACTGTCTTGATTGGTCAGAGTCATGTGTTCTGATTGGTCATTATGGAGCCACTCTGATTGGCTGATAGAGATGCAAATGAGGATGCAGCTGTGCAGCTCTGATTGGACAAGGAAGGTTTCAACCCATTGGTTGAAATATAATACCAGAAGGTTTTTCTTAAGGGAGTGCTCAGATGGGTGGAGCCCAGTACAAGAGGCTGGCAGCCCAGTCTGCAGCAGTTCCCTTACATGCAGTAGGTATGAATTTGAGCCTGATTAACCCTGAAGAATCTTTCTTAAGATCTATACCCTGGTCTTCTACTTTAGAGGCATAATAAAGACCATCAAGCATGGATTTCTATAATTTTTGCCCAAGTGCTGTACCCAAAACTAAGAAAGTACTTGCATCCATACCCAAGCTGGCTAGTGTTCCTTCTGTCTCCATCCTGGGTAGACCTGCTCCTCCTCAAAGTGACCCTCTTCACTGTCTGCTGTTTCCTGTGGCATATCTACTCTCTCCTTGGCATATCTTGAACTCCACCTTTTCCATTGGCAAAACTCCTCAGCAAATTGGCTGTTTAAGTCTTTTCTGTCTTAAATTTGACATTGACTTTAAAACTTCTTTCTAGTTCTCTCTCTTCTTCCATCATAATTAAGCTTGTGAAAGAATCATGTACCAAGAATAGGATTACACTCTGTATTTGTAGCATTTGGCATCTCTTGATTGAATGAATGCACATTCTCTTCTCTCCATTGCATCCTCTGACATCATCCCTGGATGTGAGGCACACCATATTTCCAATGATTATTATAAAATATGCATCTGGGCATGTCACTCCACTACTTAAAATCTTTCATCGGCCTTCAGAACTTTCAAGACAAAGATTAACATGATATTCAAGGCCACTATACTCAAATGTCCAGTCACCCATTATGAAAATGTTTTAGAGCCCTCTGACTGTGCTCACTGATTTCCACTTTACCAAGCACAGTTTCCTCTAACTTTTCCCTCACTTTTCTTCACCTGCCCAGTCCCATTAAAAATAAGTTCAAAAACACACCCACAAGTGCCTCTCAGACATTAAATGTACATGTCTAGCAGAGGTCTTCAGTCTGTCTCTGTATACATACAGGCTTCCTTCTGCTTCCTGCTCTATTCACCTTCACTCACAGCAATCTCAAGTTCTGTTTCCCACTTTGTTCAGTTCCATTCAAAGTACCTAGCACTCACCCAGGCCCCTAAGTTGACAGCTAAAATTGAACCAGCCTTTTATTATTACATATTTGTTTGGTTTCAAATAAACCAAATTATAAATAAATGTCTTTCATAAATCATCTTCCATATCCTTACTGTCATAGTTTAAAAAGTAATCAAGGGTATGAATAATTTTATCCCTTATGAAACATTGGCAAATTGTGTCCCAGAAAAAACCTAGGTTTTATGTCACATTGGTTGGGACCAAAATGCAGCTCTGCCACAGAGGACCACATTCAGACTTTTGTGGGCCCTAGATACTTTTACCTTTGTTGGCCTCTTCTTCCATAAAATAATATTAAAAATTATATTTATAATTGTATTGATATGAAGATGAACATATTAGTATTCTGCATTAAAATGTTTTCTTCAGCCTTAACATTACTGGTAATTTGTTTTCCTTCTCATTTTAAAAGAAATTAAAATATTTTTATAGGACCCAAAAGTATGGTAGCGATGATTTGAAACAACTTCTGATGAAAGTGAAAGAAGGAAGTGCCAAAGCAGAATTGCATTTGAACATCAAGAATATATGATTCATGACTATGGGAGAAATACACTGTTACATAAACAATGAAGACATCAAAATTGTTAATATTTTTCTGACCTTGGATCAATCATCAGTTCAAATGGAGACTGCAGTCAAGAAATCAAGAGAAAACTGAGACTTGGAAGGGCAGCAGTGGAAGATTAGGAAAGATCACCAAAAGCACAGATGTGTCATTAGAGACCAAGCTAAGATTATCCACATCCCCATATTCCCAATTACTATGCATGGAGTGGAAAATGAACAGTGAAGAAGACTGAAAGGAAAAAAATTGATTTGTTTTCATTAGGTGTTGGAGGAGAATTCCACTAATACCCTGGACCACCAGGAAGATGAACAAGTGGGGACTAGAGCAAACAAAGCCTGAAACATCAGTGAAAGAAAAAAAATGACAAAACTGAAGCTATCCTACTTTTGGCACATAAGGAGAGTTAGGGTTCTCTGAAAATGACAACAATGCTTGGAATAGAAGGCATCAGGAAAAGAATCCTTCAAATATGTGATGGATTGACACTATAAAACAGGGTGTCAAACTCATTTTCCCTGGGGGCCACATCAGCCTCCTGGTTGCCTTCAAAGGGCCAAATTTCAACTCCTTAACACTTAAGGAGTAGTTACATTTATATAGTTCTAAAATTATTTCAGCCTTTTGAAGGCAACTGTGAGGCTAATGTGGCCCCCGGTGCAAATGAGTTTGACACCCCTGCTGTAAAAGAAGCCATAGGCTGCTGAAGTCTACAGGAGCTGAGCAGGGGTATTGAGGACAAGACATTGTGGACATCACTCATTAATAGGAGACAACTTAGCAGCACATAACACACAAAAGTATGATGAGCCCAAGGCTTTGTGCCTAGTGTAACAATTGGACAAGTCAATCCTGCTGCCTCCTGCAAGCTATGATAGTTGGCCAAATTCACCTGACTATGCTTTGACCAGAAAACTACTTTATTGCTACCATATAATGTGGTAGTAAAAAGTGAATGAGTTATTACAAATAAAAGACTTAGAATTACATGACACATAGTAAATTAATGTTCTATTGTTATTATCAAATTCCCATAGAATTCTTTGGTATTATATGATAATTATTCACTGTGCTTAAGTTTTCAAACAAACTCAAAAATAATCTACTGACTTTGCTAGAAATAAATGATGGAGATGATGGAGATTTATTCAAAGGTCTTAGAATTTGCAACCTGGAAACACGACTACACAAAAACACAGAAGTGTTCTAAAGCAGAAAGCAAAATAAAAAATTCTTATGGCAAGAAGTATTTTCTTGATGCCTGGCTAGGTTGCTCAGTTGGGTGGAACGTCATCCCATAAACCAAAATGTCACAGGTTCAATCCACAGTCAGGTCACATACCTAGGTTGTGAGTTCCATCTTTGGTTGGAGCACATATGGGAGACAACTGATCTGTGTTTCTTACATCAATGTCTCTCTGTCTCTCTCTCCCTCTCTTTCTTTCCCTTCCTCTCTCTCTAAAAGTCAATAAACATATCCTTGGGTGGGGATTTTTTAAAAAGTACTTTCTTGAGAATTATCAGTCCAGCACCCTTAGCCCTAGGACTGGCCCAGGATGGTTATCAGTGAGATAACTGGCAGTAGGGGCAATGGATGCCAGGAGGTCTGGTCAGTACCTGTGGTCTGGATAGTGGATGTCAGGGTGGATGCATATGTGAGTTCTTCAGGGAGGTCATCAGATGGCCTGGAAATGTGAGCACTTCAGGGAGTAATTAGAGGGCTATCAGGAGGTCCAGATGTACATCCAGGCATTAACAGGGCTGGAAAGTTCACGAAAGTTTAAGTGTACAGGCTAGTTAGAACAAGAATGATCTTTCTTCATGCCCTAACCTTCATCATATTAATAATTTTAGCAGCTTGGTAAAGTGACTCCATTTTATATACTCCCTGTCTTCACTCATTCCTCAAAGTCATCATGATATATTATTTTTATGGGAAAATATGAAACCGTATTGTTGGTTCATTGTTCATCTTCTTACTGGGGTATCCACAAAAGGCAATTTAATGTAATGTAGATGTTCACCCTAGATGTAACATTTTTATTTTCTTTGATTATTTTTTTTTGCTTCATAAGTTCTTTCCTATCTGAGATCACATCATTTATCTACTTGATTTTTAAAATTTGTTTGATAATTTTACTTTTTTATTAAATAATTTAATCCTTTTGGGACAACTTTCATTTTCTGGGTTCCAATATATGAATTTTCTTATTACTAACATTTACTAAAAGGGAAGACTGGTGTTAGGACATGACATGATGTCAAATAGAAGGAAGTCAGGGAGTGGGAATTACATTCCCCAGACCAAAGGGACACCACCTCCCATTCCTTCCTTGTGAGGCTTTACAAGTTACCTGGGCTGCCTTAAGTTTTAACTAAGCTAACGTTAATGAAATGGGCAGGTGACTTTAAGAAACTCCCACAGAGAAATAGCAGATAAAATTAATAATGCAAGCACAATTGATTGAAAAAAAAGCTTTAGCTCTGACACTTGTCTCTATGAATAAGCTTTTGGCAGCCATGTTGTTAAACAAGGTCTAATCAGATCTAACAAAAAAGTGCTGTCCCTCCAGGTTCAAAGTTATGATGAAACTATTTGAAATGTGAATTTCTGTGTCATTATTAATGAAGAAACTCACCTGCATGTATTGTGTCTTGAGAAGTAACATGATTAGGGAGGCATTAAAAAATATACACCCAAAAACATAAAGACAATCTTTTATAGTTTTTTCAGAAATTTTTGATATCAAGAGTTACTAAATCTGGCATTTAATGAAATTTTGCTAAGTTTAATATACGTATTTACAAGTCCACTTACTAATAAAGTTCCTCTCGAAGGAAAACTGTTTTTCCTTTCAGTGTGGTTCAGACTGAAATAATACATAAAGCTGTAAGGCACAAACACATTTGTATTCCTTTGTCACCAGTGTGGGAAGATACATAGAAAACATTGCTGAAGAATAAGAAACAGGTATTATAACATTAGGTAGTGTTAGATTTTATGTAGGGTTAGAATTGGGAGGGTATGTCAGCATTTCTGTCTGAAATTATCTTTGCTAGATGATGTTTCAAAAGATAAATTTTCAGCAAGAAAATCCTTCTCAGCTTGCCTCTTGGGGTGGTGGCCTTGCTCCCGCTCTGCAAGGCAAACATCCAGAGCCATCCATGTGTGTGTGGGGGGGGGGGGGGCGGGGCGGGGGCCTGAAGTGCTTGTAGGTCCACACTAGGACTCTGTGGGGACAGAAGAAGCCAATGGGTAAAACCTCCAGCACCCGCCGGGTCACCTTGGAGGAGGATGAAAATCAGAACATCACTGTGTTGAAGGGCATCTGGCTTACAGAAAATGTGATTGATCTGGTCATATGAAGGATATCTCTCCATCAGACTTGAAGTTTCAGCAGTATTCTGATGCTCATGGTGCCTCAGTTTCTGATGAATTGAAAAGATGAGTCACTAAAAACCTGGCATTGGAGCAACCCAAAAAAGAATCTGAAAATCAAAAACAACTAAGCAAGGCAAAGAACCACAGGAAAGGGCTCTTGTCAATGAGCAGTTGACCAGAGCTATTCTCCAAGAGAGGATATCAAATTGTTACAGAACAGAGTGGGGGGTGGGGGGGGCACTGAATGATATAAAAGACCGCCCCCTTTTTCTCCAGGGGTTCCTCCCCACCTACTGTGTTCATTTTGTCCACTGCCTGAGGAACAATGTCTCTTAATACCAGAGATCAGTGAAAAGGGAAGAAATTTACTATTTATTTGAAATAACACAAGCTAAAGTTCCCCACAAATGCACACAGTCCTCCCGGCACCCTCCATGTGGCAAAAGGGAGCACTTCCAAAGACTCATGCTTCTGACTCTCACCCAAGCTGCATGCTCCCAACAAAGACACCAAAGCCGTGTGGTACTAAACAGACACATGGTCCCAAAAAGAGAGAGACACCCAATGGCTGCTGTGCTTCCATTTAAATCCCAGCACCAATCTTCCTTTGCAGCCCCATTTCAGGCTCCTCTCACAATTGGCCACAGCTGCGAGCATTCTGATGCGGTGTGGTCCTGTGGTATGGAGCCAATTATCTCCAAGCTCTTCTGGACCCTATTACAAATCCCTATTTGGAGCTCCCCTGTTGGCTGCACCCTGTTACAAAATGAGGAGGAATGCGTTAAGGCAAAGCACCTGGCTAAGTTGCTGGAGGAGAAAGATTGAGTGATAAAGAGGCAGGATGCATTCTTTTTTTAAAAATATATTTTCTTGATTATGCTATTACACTTGTCCCATTTACCCCCTTTATTCCCCTCAGCCCTGTACTGCCCTCACCCACCATCATCCCCCAAACTTAGTTCATGTCTGTGGGTCATACGTATAAGTTCTTTCACCTCTCCATTTCCCATACTATTCTTAACTTCTTCCTCTCTATTTTCTTCCTACCATTTATGCTACCTATTCTTTGTAACTTTTCCCCCATTCTCCCCTTCTCCCTCCCTGCTGATAACCCTCTATGTGATCTCCATTTCTGTGAATCTGTTCCTGTTCTAGACATTTGCTTAGTTCACTTTTGGTTTTGTTTTTTTAGGTTCAGTTGTGAGTGTGTTCTCATTTTCTTAAATATATTTTATTGATTATGCTATTACAGTTGTCCCATTTCCCCCGTTCACTCCCCTACACACTGCACACCCCCTCCCACCCACATTTCCCCACTTTAGTTCATGTTCATGTGTCATACCTATAAGTTCTTTAGCTTCTACATTTCCTATACTATTCTTATCCTCCCCCTGCTTATTTTCTACCTAACTTCTTTTAAAAAATATATTTTATTGATTATGCTATTACAGTTGTCCCATTCCCCCTTTCACTCCACTCCACACTGCAAACCCCCTCCCACTCGCATTTCCCCACTTTAGTTCCTGTTCATGTGTCATGCTTATAAGTTCTTTAGCTTCTACATTTCCCATACTATTCTTGCCCTCCCCCTATCTATTTTCAACCTACAATCTATGCTACTTATTCTCTGTACCTTTTCCCCCTCTCTCCTTCTCCCACTCCCCTGTTGCTAACCCTCCATGTGATCTCCATTTCTGTGGTTCCATTCCTGTTCTAATTGCTTGCTTAGTTTCTTTTGGTTTTGCTTTAGGTGTGATTGTTAATAATTGTGAGTTTGCTGTCATTTTACTATACATGTTTTTTTTTTACCTTCTTTTCTTAGATAAATCCCTTTAACATTTCATCTTATAAGGACTTGGTGATGATGAACTCCTTTAACTTGACCTTATCTGAGAAGCACTTTATCTGTCCTTCCATTCTAAATGAAAGCTTTGCTAGATAGAGTAATCTGGGATATAGGTCCTTGTCTTTCATGACTTGGAATA